GAGGCCCAGGCCGGTGCCACCAGCCCCGAGCCCCCGGCGCTGCGGACGCCGGGGAGGGGCGCCGGGCCGGGCCGGGCTGGGGAGGCTTCAGCAGGGCGGGGGACGGGACTGCTCCGCCCGGCAGCGCGCAGCCCCGCTCAGCGCTGCCCGGGGTCGGGGGAGCCAAACGAGCCGGCTTAAAACGGCACTGGTGGTACTCTGGAAACAGCACGGTGTCGTGGTGGGATTTTTATTTGAGTGGATCTGAGCACTACTGTGATTTAGCAGTTTAAGGTGTCACTCGTTTTGTACGGATTTGTTTTTCGATAAGATCATCTGTTGAACAAAGTCGAAGGGGAAATAAATCCCACTTGCGACGAGCTATGGTGTAGTCAGCATTTTGTCTTTGTTGTTGTTTGGTTTGCTGCTGGTGTGTTCTTGGGTGAAGTCAAAATTTTGCAGCCCAAGAGGACAGGATGACAGCGGAAGGTGTTGTTTCAGGCGGTATCACACTAGAAAGCACACTTCAGGCGTAGTTCGCTTGTAACTTTTGCAAGATATTGGAAAAGCTTCAGATGGCTGTAATTAACCTCAAACCCCTCCAAATATTTTGACCGCTCCAGTCGAGGTTTAAGACGTGCCAGGCTGGGCTGGAAAGCGGACTGATATATATATATCCTGACAATTCTTTGAAATGACTTTATAAAAACGATTGTTGGCGGGGCTGAATGCGCTTGCATGCAACAAAAAATGAGACCGTATACGGAATAAGAGGGCATGCTGAAAGCCCTGTGAACAGCATTTCCTTCGATGTTTAAATAAATATTACAACATTAAGTTTCAGACTCTTACTTTGTCTTTCAATTTGTCTTTGCGCTGCCTGAGACTCCATTTATATAATTTTTTCCCAAAGGCCACGCTATTTAACGTTTTAAGATCCACATTGTTTCAAAGCAAGACAGCATCTCTCTTGAAACATCGCTAACATCCTTGCAGATGAACTGAACCTGACTGAATAAAAAAGTAAGTATAGATTCGTGTATTTCCACACTTCACAAGTCCCTGTAATGCTCCTACTGCACTAGGTTTCCATGCCGCACATGTTCTGAGGAATACTTAAAAAATTGGCTGATTTCTATTTCCAGAAGAAGGGGCGAGCAGGGACGTGCTGCTCGAACCCCTCTGCCTCGGCATTAGCGATGGGTGCGCGTAGGAAACTCAGTAGGATTTCTTGAGCGATTTCCGCACCCGAGAGGAGAGCCAGAAGCCAGGTCCTCTCCCAGGCTCTGGCAGAGACCCGCGCTCGTCGCGGTGCTTTACCTCGGAGCCGTTATTTGCCTGCGCGGCGGGTGAGCCCCCTGCCCGGGCGCGGCCCCGCGG